GGAAAACCATTGCACTCTGTGGCATTGTCACCAAAACTGAGGGAAAAACAAAAACTCTCCAACAACATTTTAATGTTAGAGAGTCAAGGCATTGCTTTATTTTCTGGCCAGGATGCGCCACAGAAATAATTTCATTCACACTACAGGGTATGAAGGGAAAATCATTCCGTGCCAATTCCTGGCACAATATTTGCACTAAAGGCTGGAAGAAATGTGGGCCCAGGAGGGATGGGGGGCCCAGGGTGGCTTGTGCCAGCCTTGTGCCAGCCTTGTGCCATGCTGGTGCAGCTTCCAGACCCAGGAAAAGGGACGGAAAGAGCCCCGGGGCACAGGGGATCAGGAATGCGGAGAAGCCGTGCTGGTCATACCTGTTGCAGTTCCCTGTCCCCATTCCCAGGTGACAGAACCGCCAATCCCAATGTCCCAGCCAACCCCACAAACCCCACAGTGCCTCACCCCATGCCAAGAACCCCYTCCCCGGCAGGATTGTTTGTCATATTAAAATATAACTCCCCCTGCATGGAGCAGCACCCTCTAACCCCAGGTGTTTTAAAGGGTCGGCAGTTCTTGCCATAAAAACAAGATCAGAGGGGTTTATTGACTGCAGCAGGGTTAAGATGCTTTATCCCCAGTGAAAATTCGGCCCCTTGACTTCAAGGAAGCCRTGCTGATTGATCCCAGATGGAGACCTGGCCGGGTGCAATCCCATCCCAAAACCCTGGGACTGAACCCCCTCTGCTCCTCAGAGCCCGGGTGGTGATGGAGGAACGAGGGACAGGGAATTGGGGTGGAGGAATTGACATTGGGGAAAAGAATTTCACATTGGGGACAGAGAATTGGGATGGAGGAATTCACATTGGGGAAAAGAAATTCGCACTGGGGACAGGGAATTCACATTGGGGACAGGGAATTCACATTGGGGACAAGGAATTGGGATGGAGGAATTCCCATTGGGGACAGGGAATTGGAGACAGGGAATTCACATTTGGGGACAGAGAATTGGGGTGGAGGAATTCACATTGGGGTAAAGAAATTCACATTGCAGCAATCTTCTCCAAGGCTCAGGACAGGTGAGATTTTGTTTCCCAGAGCTGTAGGCACGAGTGCCATTCTTTTTTTTTTGCCATAAAAAACTAAAACCCTTTACACTTGTGCCCATGGAGAGGCGGTGAAACCACGTGTGGATAAACACCAGGATGCACCAATCCCAAAGGGTTTGGGGTCTGAAATGCACAGCAGGATCCCACCAGGCCACTCCTGTGGGGGCATTAAAATTCCCAGCTATAGGATGCCGGCGCCTCTCCCCAAAATTYCCCCAAATTCTCGTTGCTCAGGCCACGGGGACTCTCCGGGCCGGGCTTGGCGTGCAGAGCTGGGCTGGGGAGAGGGAAAAGCCTGAGCCTGCATTTCCCTGGCTGCAGCCCGGCCCTCGCAGCCCTSTGAGTGTCAGGGCCAACATCTGGAGCGGGCTGCGAGCCCGGGGCGATGGGCAGCAGCACGCACAGCTGCGCACATCTGGCCTGCAGGTGTCCGGGCTGCTCTTTGTCAGGGACATGAAAAACTTCCTGGGACACTCGTACCTGTCCCCTGGATTGTTCCCAGAAGCCCCYAAAATTCTGTGGGTTTTCTGTCTCTGCTTTTCAGTGGGTGGCCCCAAATTTCTTTTTTTTTTTTTTTYTTTTCCCATTATAATTCTATTTAAAACAAGGAATTTGAACCATAGATGCTTTTAAAACAGGGAAGGGGGGCGGTTGTTTTCAATTCTGCTGGCTCTGATCTGCACAGCTGAGTCACTCATAATGGATGCTCGTCATCCTTCCCCCTGGTTTACTCCTAGGAGTAGATGTTACTACAGAGCTTTTGTGCTGCTCTGATGACAAAAAACAAAAAAGAAAAAAAAAAAATCTGAGGCTGTTCCTCCTTTTGCTCAGCCAGACTTGCTCCCATAATATTAAATCTGTGCAAGGACAGGTAAAGTGGGGAAAAGGGTAGGAAAATCCRCTCCTGAGGTTTGGGAACTGCAGCTGCACACAGAAAAATGGTGAGAGAGCAGAGGAGCTGAGCGGGGCAGCCCCAAAGAGTTCCCTTGGAAAAACAAGAAAGCCAGAGATGTAGATATTTCTTTTTGGAGGTGTTTTTTTCCTAAAATTTGCATGATTYTGGCAGAAATGYCGAGGGGGAGGGGGAAGGTTTTCCTCTGGTCAGTGAGATCTGTTCTCCCCGAATGGGGAGGGGGCAGCAGGGTGTTTGCACAGCCCTGTCTGATCTCAGAGGAGTTTATCCCACTCCCAGTGACTGCCAGCTCTGCCCTAAATTAAATTAAATTAAATTCCCGCTCAGTCTGCAGGCTGTGTCCGTGCGGGGTGGGGGCTGTCACCGTGAGCATCTCAGAATGAATGGGTCATCTGTGGCAGCTCCATCCTCCTTCCTCGAGTTCCTGCCATTCCCGAGGTTTGGGATGCACATTTCAGACTTTGTCCACCCGGAATCTGCACCCTTTTCCCCTGGTTTCCACCCATTTCCACGTTTGGGATGTGAATTTCAGGCTTTGCCCTCCCAGAAATCTCATCCCCTGATTTCTACCCATTCCCAATTCTTTGGATGCGCACGTCAAGCTTTGCCCACCCGGAATTTGCATCTTTTTCCCCAATTTCCACCCATTCCCGAGGTTTTGGACGCGCATTTCAGGCTTTCCCCACCCAAAATCCACACCCTTTTTCCCCRATTTCCATCCATTCCCGATGCTTTGGAATGAGCATTTCAGGTGGTGCCAGTCTGGAAATTTCCTTTCCTGATTTCCACCCATTCCCATATTTGGGATGTGCATTGCAGGGTTATCCCACCCAGAATCCGCAYCCTTTTTCCCTGATTTCCATCCATTCCCATGTTTGGGATGCGCATTTCAGGCTTTTTCTGCCCGGAAATCTCATTCCCTGATTTTCACCCATTCCCAATTCTTTGAATGGCCATTTCAGGCTTTTCCCGCTCAGAATCTGCACCCTTTTTCCCTGATTTCCACCCATTTCCGTGTTCAGGGTGCACATTTCAGGCTTTTCCTGCCTGGAAATCTCCTTTCCTGATTTCCATTCATTCCCGATGCTTTGGACATTCTTTTCAGACCGTGCCCACCCGGAATTTGCACCTTTTTTCCCGATTTCCCCATTTCACCCCTTTTCCCCCACCCGTTCCCGAGGTTCTGGATGCRCATTTCAGGCTTTTCCTGCCTGGAATTGCCGCTGCTGGAGCCCGTGGGATCCCAAAAGGATCCGCATCCCACAGGATGTGGGACTCAGGAGGCAATGGAAGGTGCATTCAATGCATAGAACGGGTAAAGTTTGGAATTTTTGGGGTTTTTTTCCATTTTTTTGCTTTTTTCCTCATGGCTTCTCCGCGAACTGACTTTTTTTCGTATCTAATTGCAACTATTCACCCCAAAATTTTTCTGTTCACCCAAAATAAACAAACCTTTACTATCCAAAAGTTCCTGATGGCCACCCCACAGGGCAGAGCTGCGGGTGATGCTCCCAAACCCCAGATCCGTTTTGTTTTTTCCCGCTCCCAAGCTGCCAGAATTTTAACCAGGGGCTCCCACAAACCTTCCTCCTCCACCTCCTCCTCCTCCTCCTCCTGGCAGTGGGAAATGTGTCTTTGGCAAGGGAGATCCTTCCTGTTTAAAGTTTGGTTTTTTTTTTGTTTTGTTTTTTTTTTTTCCTCGGTTGAAGCTGTTTTTATATTTGTTTGAATTTTCCAGCAAGGGAGGGACACAGCACCTCGGAGCAACCCAAAAAAAATCGAGGGAATTCTGCTGGGTTCAGCCTTTCTTGGTGGAGAACACCCCAAAAAATTGAGGGAATTCTGGGTTTAACCTTTCTGGGTGGAGAACACCCCAAAAATCAAGGGATTTCTGCTGGGTTCAGCCTCTCTTGGTGGAGAACACTCCAAAAATAGAGGGAATTCTGCTGGGTTTAGCCTTTCATGGTCAGAAACACCCCAAAATCACGAGAAATGGAGTTTTTGAAGTGGTCCCGGGCAGCCTGACGAGCCCCTGAGCTYGTTGTGCAAAATGTGGTTGTAATTAGATAATTAATAATTTGGAGAGGGAAAGGAGAGGAAATGGGAGCTTTCCTCAGCGGGGAAATCATTCCAGCTGCTGTTTGATCTCYGAGCTGGGGCGGGAGCGGCACCTCGCCGGCAGAGCCCCGAGCGGGATGGGGGATCCCGGGGGCACTGTGGGGTCATGAGGTTTGTCCTACAGAATTTCCCTGTTCCTGGAAATGTTCAGGGCCAGGATGGCTCAAACTGCTCTGGCAGGAGGCGTCCCTGCCACTGGCATGGGGGTGGGATGAGATAAAGGATTTTAAAACTCCCTTTCCAACTCAAAGCCAAATTCCAGCTCAACCCAAACACCAAATTCCGTGATCTTGTGATGTTCTGATGCCCCTGCTTGGGGATTTCCCATTTTAGGCTGAAAATTCATTCCCAGGGAGAGGGTGATGGGGTGCAGAGGGTGTGAGCATCACTTTGTTGAGCAGGATGATTTGGGTTGGAAAACTGACCTTAAAACCCAACATCTTCCACCAGAGTAGGATTTAGGAACATGGGGTTGAATTATCCCAAAGGGCCTTCTCTCCCCAAAAACTCTGGAAAGAACAAAAAATAACCCTAACCAAACCCGAAAAATTTTGTCATTCCATCTGACCCAGCCCCGGGGGAGAACATTTTAAGACTCCGAATCCCTCCCTGCATGTGTCACATCACCAGACCCTGAATTTAGGCTGCAGACCAAAAAGCAAAGGAATTTTAACTCCATCTCCTCCAGGGATGCTCCAGGATCTTGCACAGTGCCTGGGTTAACTCCACTCTGCTGAAATCAGGGTTTTGTAAGGAAAAATCTCACATATTTGTAGGGAAAAATCCCTTCCCAACCTATCCCAGAAAGACTTCCTGGATTTGTATTCATTTTTCTAATTTTTTTTTTTTTTGCTTTTCCTTCCCTCCAGACTGTCCAGYGCCTGCAACCGAAGTGGAATTGGGATTTCTCCAAGTTTGTAGCTTCTGAAACCTTAAAAACCTCAAGGAACGTGGTCCTAAAGACCCCTGTTGACCTCCCTCACTCCCAACTCTGGTGTTTTGGAGCGTTTTGGACTGAGCAGCGAAACAGCACCCMAGAGAGGAAGGGGCTGAAGCTTCTTTTGCAACATCTCCCCCCCAAAAACCACTGACCAAAGAGAAAAGGAGAAGCAACATTCCTGGCTGTTCGTTGTCATCGGGATTTCGTGTCTGTCTGTCTGTCTCTCCGTGCGTTTGACATTGAATTTTTTATTTTTGRAGTTATTTTCTGGAAAAAAAAAGAAAAAAAAAATCTTGATYMAGGAMCAATTTATGAGGCATCTTTGGGTTTGAATTTTACTTCTCACTGACTGTATTTTTATTTTTTTTTTAATTTTTAAATTCCAAACCTGGTTTCTCGTATAGGCACAGCAAAACTGGACCAAGGCTCTCAGAATAAAAAAAAAAAAAAAAAATAAGAAAAGGAGGAATAAAACCCACCATGCCCCCAGCTCCCTGCATGATTTCTTTCAAGCACAGCCTGGATTACAGACTGCCTTTACTGCTCCGTGATTTGCTACCGCTCATCCCCTTCCCCCTTTTTTATTTTTTTTTCTTTTTAAAATTTTTGATTTTTTCTTATTTTAAGTTTTTTTTTTATTTTGATTTTTTTTGTTGTTTCCATTTTCTGTTCCAGTGTATATGTTGCTTATTTGTTTTATTTATTGAGATATTTTTAACGAGCTGAGAGACTGCAATGTCGCTGTGTATAATGCTTCTCTTGCCAATAAAAACAAAATAAAAATAAATGTCATACAGCTACTAGGATTTTGGGATTTTTATTTATGGTTTCACTGCCCTGAGCAGAGGCTGAGACTTTTCTTTGTGCCCCACAAGGTTTTCACACTCAGAAATTTGGCTGAAAATTCATTCCTGGGGAGAGGGTGATGGGGTGCAGAGGGTGTGAGCATCATTTGGTGGAGCAGGATGATTTGGGGTGGAAAATGGACCTGAAAACCCAACATCTTCCACCAGAGCAGGATTTAGGAACACGGGGTTAAATGATCCCAAATGACCTTTTCTCCCCATAAACTCTGGGAAGAATAAAAAATCCCAACCGGGTGTCATTGGAAAATTGAGGCCCAATATGTTAATGAGAAAAAACCTATTTATTAAGGCAGAACAGGGCCTATTTTGTTTTAGTTTTAAATTACTTTTGTTCTCATTTTCTGTTCCAGTGTATATGTTGCTGTTGTRTATATTCTTTTGTAAAGAATAAAATGCATCTAGGTGAATTTTGTAAGGAGTAAAACATTTTTAGGGACCCCTCCCACCATCCCAGGCTGCTCCAAGCCCTGTCCCAACATGGCCTGGGACACATCCAGGGCAAAATAATCCAAGTTGTCTGGAAAAGAGAAAAATCCARGAAAATTCAGGGAAGCGCCTGAGCCTCGAGCTGGCTCTGCCCACCCATGGGTGGTGCTGCTGAGGCCACAGGTGGATTTGGTGGCTCCCAGGGTGTCCTTTCCCATCCCACATGATTTTTCCAGCCAGAGCACAGCGTTTTCCTTTGGGCTTGCATCTTTAATTGTGCCTGAGGGGAAAAAACAAAAACAAACAAAAAACCTAAAAGAACCAAAAATAGCAAAAAAAAACCCCAACAAAACAAAACAAAAACAAAACAAAACCACAAAAAAGAAGAAAAAAACCAAAAAAAAATCCAAAACCCACCAAAAAACAAGCAACAAAAACCCCCAAAACCCAAAAGAAACCAACCCCAAAAAGCAAACAAACCAAAAAATACCTCCCCACCACCAGAATTTAAAAAAAAAAACGATCTCAAAGCAAATTGGGAAGATTATTTTGAAGTTTCTTTAGACAGATGTTGCCTCGAGAGCTGTCAGTGCATTTTTCAGAGCATTTTTTGCCGCAATTTCTCCTTTCCTAGGTCTGGAAGTTGCTCCTCTGTGAATCTCCTGCTCCAAAGTTGAGGGTGATGGGGGAAAAACCTCTGTTTTGGGCTTGGGAGAGGAAAAGTGACCTGGAGGAGGACAAGGGGAAGGGAAAAACTCACCTGGGCATCTCCAGAAGGATCTGAATCCTTGTGCAGGGGGTTCAGCTCTGCTCAGGAGAGAATCCCACAATGGTGTGGGTTGTAAAGGACCTTAAATCCCATCCCATCCCATCCCATCCCATCCCAATCCCATCCCATGGGTAGGGACCCCTCCCACTGTCCCAGGGGCTCCAACCCCCTGGATTTGGGCACTGCCAGGGATCCAGGGGCTTCTCTGTGCCAGGGCCTGCCACCCTCCCGATGAACTTTGAGGGATTTTCCAACCTCTGTGACTCCGTGATAAATTCATTTCCACTTTTTTTTGACTGAGGAAAGGTGGGATCCGGCCAGTCCGTGTTTTTGTGTTCCCTCCCTGCCCACACACAGAATTCCAGCCCGGTCCAGCTCAGGGAGCAACACCCTCAGGGACAAGGGTGACCTGGCTCTGTCACCCTGGGGTGCGCTTCAAGGAGCCCTAATGGGATCTGCGACATTTCCCTGCCCTCCTCAGATCCCTGTCCCTTCCAGCCCCTCCAAACCCCCCTCAGCAGAGCCGGGAAGCAGCCCGGGGTTCCTAAACCCTAAAAGCCCTGCCTTTCTCYGCTCACAAAGGAATTGTTTTGGAATAACAGCACAAATCGAATTTCCCGTCGCAGATCAGGAGGAGAGAGGTCAAATATGAGAAGGATTGGGATGAAAGAGGAATTAGCCCGMACCCGCATGGAATAACTCAAATTCAGCGTGGCTTTCAGCGCTCCCGGGATCTGGCACGGCTGCAGATAAGCCCGGCAGATAAACCCGGCATTGGTCATCCCCAGCACGGAGCCGCTGGGCTCGGCACCCCCTGGCCCTGAAAAAGTGTTCCGGAGAGCCGGGGACCGACATCCGTCAGCCCGGGGAGAGCTCGGACCGGCTTCCACCAGAGCCGCGGGGAGCCACTCGGTGCTTTGGGAGTGCCTCCTCCTCCTCATCATCCTCTTCCTTCTTCTCCTTGTCCTCTTTCTCCTCCTCCTCCTCCTCCTCCTCCTCCTCCTTCTCCTTCTCCTTCTCCTTCTCCTTCTCCTTCTCCTTCTCCTTCTCCTTCTCCTTCTCCTTCTCCTTCTCCTTCTCCTTCTCCTTCTCCTTCTTGCCCTCCTCTTCCTCATTCTGCTGCCATCCTTTACCATTCCCTAAACCATCTCGGGGGGTTCAGCCCCTCTCCCCTTGCTCTCCCCAGCCTGGGCAGGGCTCAGGATGCTCCCAGAGTTTTCCCCCATCTCGGGTTTAACTTCCCTCCCTTTCCGAGCCAGAGCTCTCTCCACCTTTCCCACAGCCCCATTTCATCCCTTTGGGTACCAACGTTCCCTCTCCTGGAACAATTTGGGAGCAGCCCCGAGGCAGGGAAGGGCAGGGACCCTCAGCAGTGCCGGGACCCCCTCGTGGATCAATGGGCTCCAGAAATTCCTGTCGCTCACCAGCGGCTGAACCCGGCCCCTCAAAGCCCGGCCTGGCTGAATTATCCACGGGGATTGGGGAGGATTGCAGCAATTGCTCCGTGCTCTGTGCTCATAGAGATTTTTTTTTTTCTTTTAGGTTTTTGTTCCCTTTCAAACCGAAATGTGTAATTGAAGAGTGAAGTTCTGAAAGCTCACTCAAGAACCTAAAGGGCTCCAGGAGAGACTGGGGGCAAGGGATGGAGGGACAGGACACAGGGAATGGCTTTGAACTGGAAGAGATGAGGTTTAGATGGGATTTTGGGAATTAGGAATTGTTCCCTGGGAGGGGCTGGGATGGAATTTCCAGAGCAGTGGATCCCTGAAGTGTCCAAGGCCAGACTGGACATTAGGGTTTGGAGCACCCTGGGATGGTGGAAAGTGCCCAAATGGGATGGGACCTTCTGGCTCCTTCCAACCCATCCCACAATTCCCAATTCCAAATGGATTTCAGACAACKCAGGGGGCTCCAGGCACAAACACGAGGCCAGTTAGAGGGAAAACACCTGAAAAACGCCATGAAAGGTAAAAATGTGGATCTGCTTTTCAAATTATTTTTCAAGGCATTTCTCAACTCACACCTGGGAGCCACAAGGAACTGGGAAGCTCCAGGAACTTTTCCACCAACATCCCAAMATGCACAGGGGTAGATTTTGCCAAAAAAACCCAAAAAACTTTGACAGCAAGACACCCAGAACCCAGCAAGTGAAATGTCCCATCCCAGGCAAGGAAGGAAAGAAGCTCAGCAGCAGAAACCCGGGTGGTACTATAATTAACTTTTTTTTTCTTTTATTTACACCACAAGAATAACAAGTTGTCATAATGTGGTACAAAATACTGGACTCCTAATAAAGTTGAAATCGAAGTCGGTACTGTTAGAGAAAGACACCATTGGCCAGTAAAAAAAGAAAAAAAAAAA